AGCAACAGCTCTTATCTTAGCTCCAGACCAGTGGAAAATAGAGACTTGGTTTACGGAGCTCTGGTCTTGGGCAAAAGATAGCCACCCACCCCTGGATATATATTTAATTTATTTATTCAATTTATATACCACTCTTTATCAAAAGATCCCAGGGCGGTGTACAACATTAAAAACACATCACAGAACATCCATAATAATAATAATAAACATAATAAAAAGCATACTGGCAGACAAATAATAAAACAGTTAATAACAGTCCTCTCCTTTAAAAGGTGAATGATGAAATTCAGCACATGGAAGTGCTATCCCTTCCAGGCAAATTTTGTTAATTAAACAAATAAATTGAGTTGACTCAGGTGCACCGGTGAATGCTGACATTCACCTCCCCCCCAAAAAAAAATCATCTAGAGCGGATCTGTGTTCACATATCTGAAGAACATTCAAAATCTCAAAGCACCCCAAGTTAAGTATTCCATATCTCTACAGAATTTGACTAGAAGAGCCAATTTATGATATACAAAAGCCACAATCCATTTGAGCGTTGGAAATTGATAAGTGTTGTGATGAGGCTTCAGTGAAGACTTCTTTCCAGCAACACAAAGGTATACGTTTTGTAAAGGATGCCGTTGATTTCAAAGGCTGCATTGAAAGGATGCTCCTTGTTAACACCTCTCTTTCTGTCAGCATGGAGCCCATTAATAAAGAAAGGGCACCTGGAAAGAATGTTGTTGCTGCTGTTGTAAAACAACAACAGCAGCAACCTCAGGCATTCATGTGGGAGGAATGAAGTGATTGTGATGATACAATGAAAAATAAATCTCAGTCTTACAAATGCAGTCAGCATCAGGACCACCTTGCATCTCGGAGGACTTGAACCCAGAAGCTCATCACACCTGCAGCACATTATTCTGCCAATATTGTTTATAAGCAAGCATATTTTAGGGATGGAGAGAGAGAGAGAGAGAGAGAGAGAGAGAGGAGAGAGAGGGAGGGAGAGAACTAACTAACTAACTGTTTCTCTATCACATTTCATCCCAAGGAACGAATGCTATATTTACAACAGCCCTAATCAGTGGGTCTCGGTCCCAAGAAAGTCCCTAAAGTCACACATTTACAGCACAATCCTCTACCGGTTAACTGGATGAAGGCCAATAAACTGAGTGGATGCTAACAAGTTGGAGGTCCCAAAGGTGAGTGGAGCTTGGGGCTGGGAATTGGGAGGACATCCTGTTCCAGGTTGGGGCAGGTGGTGGTGGTTGCACACGCCCTGAAATAGCAGGAATGTAGTCTGAGAGTACCTCTGTCACTGGAGCCCCAGGTGGCCTCAGTGGCACAGAATCCCTTTGCAGTTTGGACTGCTATGCCAGCTATAGCTATTGCTAGACAAAGATAGCCTAGGCACAATGACCCCTGGCCCCCTGCTCTGGGAACTGCTTACATAGTTACTTACTGTAATGAAGCTGTCCTTTTATTTTTATGTACAAGCAGCTCCCCATTTCCATGGAGGCTGCATTCTGGATCAAAGTGCACATCAGTGGAGCACACATAAGCCCTCCCCACCCTGCGCCCATTTCCATCCCTTCTGTTCCACCTCCATTCCTTCCTCTTCCAGGTCCAAAAGGACCCAGATGTTAGCAGCCACACATCAATTGGACACGCCTAAAATGGGTGCCACCTTATTTAGAAACATCTCAGGCAGGTGGCTTTGTGGGTGGGTCCCAGGCCTCCACTGAGAACTGGCTTATTGCAGGCTAGATCATCCTCCTGCCGCCAAATCAGCCAATGGCGACCGGAATTTGGAGGCATTGCCCTGGGTGCAGGAACAACCAACCAATAGCAGTGCTTGGCTCCACACCCAGGACAGAGATAAATCCCCAGCCTGCGGGTCCTTTCACCCTCAAAATGGGTGCCACCTTATTTAAAAGTATATATAACCCACTTAATATAAACCTCCCTGAGATCTTTTAAACATGCAGCTGCCAGGGAACCAACAGAGATAGCTGTCAAGGATCAAATAACATTGCTCCTGAAGGATCCACACTGACTGTTGACCTTTGACTTACAAAGAAGAAGAAGAGAAGAAGAAGAGTTTGGATTTGATATCCCACTTTATCATTACCCGAAGGAGTCTCAAAGTGGCTAACATTCTCCTTTCCCTTCCTCCCCCACAACAAACACTCTGTGAGGTGAGTGAGGCTGAGAGACTTCAGAGAAGGGTGACTAGCCCAAGGTCACCCAGCAGCTGCATGTGGAGGAGCAGAGACGCAAACCCTGTTCCCCAGATTACGAGTCCACCGCTCTTAACCACTACACCACACTGGCTCCCAAAGCCTCAAACAACTTAGGGCTCAGGTATACGAAGGAACCTTTCTCCCTGTGTGATCCTGTCCATGTCCTCAACAAAGCCTACTATTTGTTCCATCACCAGCGGAAGTACATTGGATCTTCCCCTGTGGTGGAAATGGAGACAGAGTCTTCTCTGTGGTGGCTCCCTGACTTTAAAATGCCTTTTTTTTTAAAAAAAAAAGTGTGCCTGGTACCAACTTATTGACATTCCAGCTGTAAGCTGGAATCTATCTACTCAGGCATTTAGGAATGGTTAGTTGCTGCTGGTGATGAGAATGTGTGGCTTCTGTTCATAAGGTAACTTATGAGATTGTGTATGAGTGCATACAAAAGACAGCAAGGAGAACCTCAAAGCTAGGCCATAAATTTGGCAACAAACAAACAAACCTCTAGTTAATTTGGAATTTGCTGCCAAGGAGTGTGGTGGAGTCTCCTTCTTTGGAGGTCTTTAAGCAGAGGCTTGACAACCATATGTCAGGAGTACTCTGATGGTGTTTCCTGCTTGGCAGGGGGTTGGACTCGATGGCCCTTGTGGTGTATTCCAACTCTATGATTCTATGATTCTAATTTTACACTAAATATAGAAGAGGAACCATAACTGGAAGTCTCATTATAGCCTGCTGAGATCAAGCACCAAATGTTTCTTTTGCATTTTTTTCCCCATCGCCCAATGCTTGACAAAACTAACCATTTTCCTTGCCAGCTTCTTTTCACTTCCATAAGTATTGTATCATAATTAGAATATACTGGCAAGAATGCATTGCACTTGCTATTGTACAGTGTCTAGTTTATAATGGACACTGTATAAAACTAGTTACAGATATATAACTGTATAACTGTATAAAACTGTTAAACTAAGATGATGGCATGATGACCCTTAGACTAGATCAGTGATGGCCTAACTTGGCCCTCCAGCTGTTTTGGGACTACAATTCCCATCATCCCTGACCACTGGTCCTGTTAGCTAGGGATGATGGGAGTTGTAGTCCCAAAACAGCTGGCGGGCCAGGTTTGGCCATCACTGGGTTAGGTAGAGCCTATCCTACAAATACCAATATTACATTTGCTATAATACTGCCAAAAAGTAAAAACTCCATGTTCTAAAGCAATCATCCTGATTAACAAATCATGGGAGAAAATTTAGGGGACCTCTATCACCTATTTGTGAGTTTTCCTTAGGCATCACAGTTGAACAACAAACAATGGAACTCCCATCCCTTTGGATTTGATTTCTTGAGGTGCTTTGGCACCAACATTTGCTTGGCTTCTTAAGGGTTTCCCATATTCTGCAGCGACAATATGGGTTCATGGCTGAGCACATAGTAAGAAGCTACATCTGATCCAGGAGTCCATTGTGGCTGTTTTGAGGCCAATCCACACCATACTGTTATGAGTTTGTAGGTGCTAGACACCCTAAATTCCTGGATTCAGTAAATGTTAGAATTTAAACAATGCTTGACATGTTAAAACTGGATGCTAGACATTGGATAGAGCAAGCATTAAAATTTAAGCCAGACCAGTTTCCTGCGTCAGGAAATCACCTGGGAGATGAGCAATTAAGAAAGACAAAGGGAAGGTAATGAACCATTAGGGTAGCCAGAGAGGGAGGACTTTGTGACAGATAACAAATGGGAGGAGCCCCTTCCTCAACTCAGAGTTTAGTTTGGAAGGCAAAGCAGAGTTTAAAAGTAGAGTTTCAGAGTTGGCTTACAGGTAACCTGGGGGTGAAAGGTTGCATGCAAAAGTCAGCAAGCTGCAGAGAGTCAGAGCCATGGCTGGGGACTGGTTGAATTCAAGGCTGCAGCTATGAAAGAAGCAAGACACTCTTGGTTATATATGGGTGTAATAAACCATATATAAGAAAGATACTGGAGTCTCCTCTGTACCTCACTCCCAAAAGGAAACACGAACCCTGGGTATGCACCTGGAGCTCCTAGGATCTTATAGCACTCAACAATATATATCACTTCTGCTCAAAGAGAAGTGGTAAGACAAAGAACAACCCTACCCAGGTGTAGCTCCTGACAACAGCACCCTGTGATGTCACCACGCCCGTCTTTGACTGCAACTGCAGACAGATGAAGGGCTCTTTGCATGTCCTAGGTCAAGTATTGGGACTTTTAATAGAAAAGTTAAGATGTTCTCATTAGATCAGACCATAGTCAATCTAGTCCATCATGCCAACAAGACATGAAGCCAAAGCTCCATCGTGGCCGACTTTGGGGTTGCGGCGCTCATCTCACTTTATTGGCCGAGGGAGCCAGTGTACAGCTTCCGGGTCATGTGGCCAGCATGACTAAGCCACTTCTGGCAAACCAGAGCAGCGCACAGAAACACCGTTTACCTTCCCGCTGAAGTGGTACCTATTTATCTACTTGCATTTTGACGTGCTTTCGAACTGCTAGGTTGGCAGGAGCAGGGGCCGAGCAACGGGAGCTCACACTGTCATGGGGATTCGAACTGCCAACCTTCTGATCGGCAAGTCCTAGGCTCTGTGGTTTAACCCACAGCGCCACCTGCGTCCCTTGTATTCAGAGGTACAATGCTCCTAAACATGTTGGTTCCATTACATCCAAAAGCAGCAGAACACCCACCCACCCCAGCTACAACCACAGTTAAAAAAAAAAAAAGCCATTGGCAGGCCATTTCCCTACCTGCCTTCTGGAAGCCACAGCACTGTTGATACCCTTGTTGGTTGTTTTGGTCTTGTTTGAGGCAGCCACATCATTCTTCCACATCTTTGAGTTTTCTTTTGGGTCAGCCGAGATGGGATTTAGGAACAATATCCTGGCAATCAACCCATAGAGGACAGTTGCTAATATCATTGGCATGACGTAAAATATCCCAAAGTCCATCATATAGATTGGAGAATAGTAGCTCCTGGGCACTTTGTACCCGCAGGACACTACAGTGGCATCTTTGTAGGCTACCATGTTGAGATCTAATAAGAAAAACCAGAGCATGCAGTAGATGGAGGTGAAAGCCCAGACAAAAATAATTATCTTTTTGGCTCTTGAGAATGTGCATAGAAACTGGGCTTTGATAGGGTGGCAGATAGCTATGTACCTCTCAACGGTGAAGGCGGTTATAGAACAAGAAGAAGCGTTGATGCCGAGATATTGGAGGTAAGTGATGCAGAGACACCCAATGTAGCCATAGACCCAGGATCCATAGATGCTCTCCGTGATGTTGGGAAGCCCGGCAGCCACAAGCACCATGAGGTCCGCCACAGCAAGGCTCACCAGGTAACAATTTGTAGGGGTCCTCATATGCTTCGTCCTGAGTACCACGAGCACCACCATGATGTTGCCTATGATGCCCAACCCGCAGATGAGGAGGACCAAGAAGATGGTGACCACTTGGTATTCAAGGGTGGCCACCTCCCGGATCGGCAAGAACTCTGTTTGATTCTGTCCATTGTCTGTAGTGTTCTCCATCTTCACTCGGCTGCTTCTGCCCATCAGCTGCTGGTCAGCACATTTCCCCCCTTGTCTCCCTAGCAGGAAAAGTTGATCATAGTGAATGGAGTGTAAGATGCAGGTCCCTTGTGTGGTGATATTTCACACATGACAGTCCTTTGTTCCAAACAGCTTGTTGACCACCAGCCCCAGCAAACACAAATACACACACAGAGCTATGATACAGGTATGTTCATCTGTTTCATTGGGTGGGGATTTGTATAAAAACAACAACAACAACCAGGCACTGATAGGTGTGGAAGAAGGACTTTTCTATCTGCTGGAAAGACTGCCTCAGAAGACAAGGGTAACATGATGCGTTAGACTATTCTCTTTCCAGCAAAAGTGAATCTAAGACTGGAGACAAATTAGGCTAGGTCTCCCCCTCCAGACAATAGTCAATTTCAAAAATCTGCTTGAGTCGACAACACAGCAGGACAAAACAAAATATGTGTGTAAACAGCTGGTATTCCTTAGTTCTATTACTTTCTTTTTTAAAGTCTTATGTGACTTGAGAGAGGGTTGAATTGGGAGTAAAGATTGGACAGAGTGAACTCTCCCAGATTAAGACATTCTTCATAGGAGACGACCCCAAAGAGTCATGCTGAGGATTCAAGGAAAGGGATTGCGTCCAAATATTTAGAGTTAAAGCCCTTTCACACTGTTTTATGCTATCCTGCTGGTAGCCACAGCCATTGGCACTCATTGATCAGCCCTAGTCAGATGAAGGCAATTCTGCCACTGCAGAAGAATAGAGGGTTGTGTGTTGATAATACATGCAGATATTTATCTATCAGATACCCCTGTCCATTCCTCCCTCCTGTCCCTGTATTCAATATGATATATGGGACTTACCTTCAGCTTTTTTGCAGGGACTTCAGAGCTGTGCATGTCCAATCTGAGTTGACAACATAAGCTCCGCTCCAACTTTGGGCAGTCAGAGAAAACCCAGCACATCACACTTCACTCCGCAAACATGCTGCAGATCGCTGCCCGCAAAAGCTTCGCCGCTCCAGTCTCCCCTAAGCCCTCCAAGGGAAGAGGCTGATCATCTCAAAGCTACCAAGCTGCCAAATCACAAACAGCCTATTAATGAGAAAGATACACAAAGTGCCCATTGATCCACAGATCTGCTTTTCTCAGGAAAGGCAATAGAACCTCTTTTGGCGACACAGTTTTAACTCAAGATGCCTGTGTAAAAAGGAAAAGGGAAAAAAGCGACAAATGCACAGACAGACAAGGCAAGTACCACTCTACTCTTTTAGGACTGCTAATGGAGCACCCAAACAGGTATGTGCAATGGATGCTCCCTTATGAATCTACACCTGGAAAGTATACGTGGCAACTCTCTCTCTCTCTCCCTGCTCTGAATCCTGCTCTGAATTTCCACACTTCAGAGAAAATGAGAAAGAGGAGGGGGCCTGCCTCCAAACCATTTCTTTTCTTTTTTTGAAGTGCTCTGTTAAAGAGCCACAGACACTATTCTATTTATATATTATTTTGGTATTCTGTCGTTTTGGACAGTCAAAAGAAACAGAAAAAATCCAATTTTCTTTCTAATGTGTGAAGCATCACTTATGCTTCTTTGCCTTCAGTTGCAGAACTCCTGGAAACAACCAATTATATGAATGGAGGGAAAGAAATTGGATTTCATAACAGGGTTTCGGGTGAAGGGGTTGTTGTTAAAGGAAGCATATTAAACAATAGATTTAAAGCAATGTTTTTTAAAGGAAGCATGTTTCCTTAAAAGAACCATACAGTGCACATTTTGGGAAACATATCAGGCTGTTATCAGTTCATGATAACAGTCAATGACTGTTGTGAAGTGAAAAGAGTACAGGAATCAGTTGCAAGCACTCGTGCAACAGTGCAGTGTTACACTCAGGTGCCACAAGCATAAGAAAAATATGTTGGATCAGGCCAAAGACTCCTCTGATCCAGAAACCTGCTATGGCCAGCCAGATGCCTCCAGCAAGCCTACAGGCAGGACTTGAATGCTACAATAATAATAATAATAAGAATTATTATTATTATTATTATTATTATTATTATTATTATTATTATTATTTACTCACCCATCTGGCTGGGTTTCCCCAGCCACTCTGGGTGGCTCCAACGGAATATTAACATTAAAAATCAAACATTAAAAATTTCCCTAAACAGGAGTGCCTTCAGATGTCTTCTAAAAGTCAGATAGTTCTTTATTTCCTTGACACCTGATGGGAGGGTGTTCCACAGGGCGGGAGCCACCACCAAGAAGGCCCTCTGCCTGGTTCCCTGTAACCTCATTTCTCGCAGTGAGGGAACCACCAGAAGGCCCTCAAAGCTGGACCTCAGTGTCCGGGCTGGATGAGGAGGGTGGAGACACTCCTTCAGGTATACTGGGCCGAGGCCATTTAGGGCTTTAAAGGTCAACACCAACACTTTGAATTGTGCTCGGAATCATACTGGGAGCCAATGTAGGTCTTTCAGGTCTCGGCAGCCACTCCCAATCACCAGTCTAGCTGCTGCACTCTCTCCACTTTGAACAACTGGTATTCAGAGCCATGCTGCTCTACATTGATAGGTTAAAAAAGGTAAAGGTAAAGGACCCTTGGATGGTTAAGTCCAGTCAAAGGCGATTATGGGGTTGTGGTGTTCATCTCGCTTTTCAGGCCGAGGGAGCCAGCATTTCTCCACAGAGAGCTTTCTGGGTCATGTGGCTAGCATGACTAAACTGCTTCTGGCACAATGGAACACCGTGACGGAAACCAGAGCGCATGGAAACACTGTTTACCTTCCCACCGCAGTAGTACCTATTTATCTACTTGCGCTGGTGTGCTTTTAAACTGCTAGGTTAGTAGAAGCTGGGACAGAGCAATGGGAGCTCACCCCATCGCAGGGATTTGAACTGCCGAGCTTCCAATCGGCAAGCCCAAGAGGCTCAGTGGTTTAGACCACAGCGCCACTCGTGTCCCATTGATACTTACCAATGGTTCATTTAAATTCTCCATGGTGCTCTTTTACCTGCAGGGAAGCTGCTTGTGAAGCAACACCCATACCCTACAGGATCAATCCCTCTGCTCAACAGCTATCCCACAGGAAGCAGGCTGTATGAAACCTCTGGGAGCTGTAAGTCGGATACGTGAAGTGCCATCAATATGCGGATGACACCCATTCCATTGGAATCAGTAAAGATGGTTGAAGTGTTGTTAGGCGAGTGCTTGGAAGCAGTGAACAAATGGATGTGGGCCAATAAACTGAAGCTGAATCCTGAAAAGCCAGGTGCTGTGTGTCATACGTTCTCATGTCCAGCTGGTGGGAAGACAGCCTGACCTGGATGGATTCTCATTCCCCTGGGAAGAGCAGGTCCATAGCTTGGGTGTGCTTTTGGAAGTCACTGGAGAGTCAGGTGACTTTAGTGGCCTTTTCCCAGCTGGTTCAGCAGCCACAGTCTCTTTTGAACAGCACTGACTTGGTCACTGTACTCACTGGTGGAGGAAGAGGAGTGCAGGGGGAGCGCACCACCCCCGGCAGCACGATCTCGGTGGGGTGCCATTGCGGCTGCCCCCCCGCCTACACTGGGTGTCACACTCCAGGACGTGTGCCAGCCCCACGTGCTCTCCGCCCCCCGGTGCCGGAGCATGAAGCTCCGCCACTGACTGTACTCCATGCTCTGGTATCTTCCAGATTGGACTATTGCAATGCGTTCTATGTAGATTTCCCCATGAAGATGACCAGGAAACGTTTACTGGGTCAAAATGCAGCAGCTAGATTACTGCTTGGGATTCCGTTTATATATCACATAAGCCTTTTTTTTTTTAACAGCTGCATTGGTTACCAGTCAGTTCCTGGATGCAATTAAATGTGGTCACCCTGTTTAAAGTCCTAAACAACTCAGAATACTTGAAAGAGTGCCTTCTTTCCTATAGACCCTTGTGGGTGTTAATATCAGCAGAGGGGTCATTCCAGCACCCTCAGAGGTATTGAAGGGGCAGGAGAGCGCATTTTGTGTAAAAGGTAAAGGTACCCCTGCCCGTACGGGCCAGTCTTGACAGACTCTAGGGTTGTGCGCCCATCTCACTCAAGAGGCCGGGGGCCAGCACTGTCCGGAGACACTTCCGGGTCACGTGGCCAGCGTGACAAAGCTGCATCTGGCGAGCCAGCGCAGCACACGGAAACGCCGTTTACCTTCCCGCCAGTAAGCGGTCCCTATTTATCTACTTGCACCCGGGGGTGCTTTCGAACTGCTAGGTTGGCAGGCGCTGGGACCGAGCAATGGGACCGCACCCCGCCGCGGGGATTCAAACTGCCGACCTTTCGATCGGCAAGCCCTAGGTGCTGAGGCTTTTACCCACAGCGCCACCCGCGTCCCATTTCATGTGGCAGCCCTTAAATTGGGGAACACTCCCCACAAAGGTGCATTATTCATCTTTTGGCAAATGCTGAATATATACCTTTTTACCCTAGCTTTTTGTTTTTGCTTTTTTAAAAAGAAATCTTTATTGATATTTTGTTATGAGAGAAGAAGCATGTGTTACATAGGTGATTTTCACAACAAAGGAGACCATAATGAAACATAACGCATAATAATTCAAGAAAAGGGGAGGGAGAAATCAGGGCATAACAAAAACAGGCAGTGCAGCTTTACATAGGGATCATAAATAGAATGTACAGGGAGAAGAATAAGAAAGAAGGCTAATCTTCTACAGAACATCTCCACATAGTAACCTGGGAAATTGGAGGTCTGGTGGGTTCTGCATTTGAGTTGACAAAGGAAAGGAATGTATGTCATATCAAATGAAAACGGTCTATTTTTGACTTGCCTCTAAGGGCTCTCCTTCACTGCATTAGGTGTTCCAAATCTTTCTAAGCCATTCCTCCTGAGAGCGGGGTTGGTTAGATTTCCAATAAGTCACAACTGTGAATATGGCTGCATCTAGGAATGTGAATACTATGGACTTATCAGCAATGGAGAAATTGTTGTCCCCTTCCAAGGAGAAGACCACCAGAGCTGAGTCTGGGATTAGCACTTGAGTTGTGATCCTTGAAATAAAATTAAAAAACCAAAGATCAAAACTTTTGAATGATACAGCTATTTCACCATATATAGAGTAGCGTTACAGTGGAATCACAGTCTCTTCAGCATGGATTAGCATGGCATTTTCTAATTTTTGATAAACAGAGTGGAGTCCAGTGCCATCTCAAAGCTGAATTATTAACCACAAGTGTCAACTATTTTAACTGGAAAGCCTCATAATACAACTTAAGTTTTGAGGTGCCAGTACCTCCCTTAGTTCTTAGTCAATACATGGTCAGGCAGTTCTTCCTGCTTCTTTTACCTCCTGAAATAAAATTATTAATCAAGTGTTGCCATCAAGTCAATTGAGAATGAGGGACAGGTATGGGCAGGATCTGGGGGGGGGGAAATACAGTAGAAAGTTAGGAAGAGAATGTGCATGTTCACTGCTGCAATTCAGCCTAATCAGCTTAAATTTAAACACTTCCAAGAATGAAGTTTTTCTGGGGTCTTTTTGTGGAGATCCCTATAGTTTCTTTGGCATAATGCCGAGGTTATAACTACACCAAGACATTTATACCCACCATATAGCAATTTAAAGCCAGTGTTAGAGCATAACTAGCTGCTTTCTGAAATCTTGGAAATAATAGGCAGTATGATCAATTTGTTGTAATTGATTTTTAACCCAGCAACATCAGCCAACGTACTAAGAACCTGCTGTAAAGACAGAAAAGCTTTTTTAGTATCACATATCATTAATAGCAGATTGTTCAGTTCCTTGAATTTGGATAACTTTAATTTCAGTGAAGAATAGTAGATCCATAGTTGCAAATAGAAGAGGCAATAGTGAACAGGCTTGTTTGGTCCTTAATTTCATTATGAAATGAGCTGAATCAATTCCATTAATGGTAATGTTAGCTGGGGATTCCAAATAAATTTGTTCAATTAAGTGTAAACATCTATTCCCAAACTACATTTTTTATGAGTCTCTTGCAATAGCTCCATTCAATACAATCAAATACCTTGAAGGCATCTAGTGAAATAAAAGTTGCAGAAGGGCAAAATTTGTATGCATTGTGAATTACATTGAGAACCCTTCTAACAACAGCAGGAATATTCCCTTGAGGAATAAAGCCAGATTGGCCTAGAGCTATATAATTGGAAATAAACACATTGAGTCATTGGACTATTACAGATGATAGTATTTTAGCACCAGTATTCAATAATACATTAGGGGTATGCATTAGATTTGGAGATTAATACAATTCTAGAGGTTTTCCACAAGGAGGGGACAATACCACCTGACAGCATGTCGTTAAATAAAGTGTTCAGTTGAGGAGCTAATGCCTCACAAAAGGTTTTGTAAAAGTCTCCAGTGAACCCATCAGATCCTGGAGATTTACCTTTTGTTAGTTGTCTAATTGTATCCTTTACTTGTTTTGGAAACAGTGCTATTCAAA